GCTGGATTTTGAAGTTCATTGCATACGGTAGGTCCTCAACAAACAGCTGGTTAATTTATTGACCAACTAAATCATTATTTTGAAGGAAACAGGGCTGTAAATGTCAGTTCGTGAAAGGGATTATGAGCCTACTTAAAGAATTTGGATTTTATTCTCTAAACTAGGAGTTGAAAATGCAAACGTCTACAGGGATCTTGTAAGAAATGTGAATAAGTGGACGAGGTGTTAAAAAAAAAAAGTGATTATGGGGACTATTGCTTACTCAGGTACCAAACAAGGATACTATGAGCACACAGATGTCTAACACATGATCCTGGCCCTGAGGATGCACACATAAGTAAGTACTCACAATATAATGTGATGACTACCTCTGTTCCTGTAGTAAATAAAATGAGATCATAGGGCTTACTTAATTCCATCTGAGGGAAGTAAGAAGCTATTACTGATGAGATTATATTTGAGGTAGACTTGAGGGATGAGCAGGAGCTCATCTCTTTATTTCCAGCTACTCCCTTCAATCCAATTTTGTTAGTCTAACTGTACCTGGCACCTCACACTCTGCCATGTTCTCAGGTCTTCCACTTTGGTGTGCCCTGCCTTCTTCATTTACTTATTAATTCCTACCTACCCTTAAAGGCTCAGTGCGGATGTTCCTCATGCATAAAATTCTTGAAGACTACTCAGGCATCAAACGCTAATTGAGAACATAACAGTGGCTAGACATTTTGAAAACTAGAATGACACATAGCACACAACAGAGTGTAGAAGTGCTCTAGAGAGGGTACAATATTGTGTGGTGAGAAGTTTACTAGTTTGGGAGTCAAAGATTAGTTGGCTCTGTGATCTCAGGCAAATTGTTCAGCCTGCTTTTTGTTCAGTATTCTTAGCTATAAAATAGAAGCTTACCCTTATGATCATTATGCTTTCTTTCAGTTCTAACATTATGACTCTGTGAGTTTGAGGAAGAATTTAATCTCTTTGATATATTTCTGGTAGGATTTCCACACATTCTTTCAAAATTTTCCTTCTGTAATATGACTATTGGAAAATCACTAATCAATAGTAGCAGTATTGAAGAGTGTCATCTCTATGCCATTATCATATGATTCCTTCCCTGGATTTAGGAAATTGCATAGGTGACAAGTTCATTAAGATAAAGTCAGCTATCGTGTTGCCCTGTTACTACTTTGGTCATGTCCTATTACTCTAAGAATAGGTTGTGGCTCTTTCTCTGGACTCACAATTTCATAGCAGTGAGAAAACACAAGCGTACTTCAGAAAGTTTGTGGAAAATAGAATTAAAAGATAGTATGAAGATTTCCATGAACTTTTTTTTTTTTTTTGTCTTTTTGTCTTTTTTTTTTTGTGACTGGTAACGGGATTGCAACCCTCAGTGTCGCGCCCACACCGCGACCGGCAATGAGATCGCAACCCTCGGTGTCACGCCCGCACCGCGCTCAACCAGTGAGCGGACCGGTCTCTATGTGGGATCCGAACTCTTGGAGGGAGCACCGCCGCGCTCCCAAGTGCCGTACTCTACCGAGTGTGCCACCAGGCCGGCCCTCCATGAACTTTTTGAAGTAGCCTCATAGAGGGCAGGTGAAGAACAGATCCTGAATATTAAGATTAAAGAAACACTGCCTGTGGAAAATGACATACATGACTTAGGGAATCTATAAAATCAAACCAAAATAATTAACGAAGGAGTTATTCTTATGTTAGTTTAGTTACAAACTATTGAGGAGTTGTTTATGTTATAAATAGACAACACATTTGAAATACCATAGTTTGAGATCTTAGATTATGAATTGTTGACAGCTATTTGTAAAGATCAGGAAAGTATTTTATCAGCACCTACCACTCATTTGCAGATTGCCTCATTCCAACTTGCTGTATTAGTTGTACTTTAGGTTTTAAGCAAAAGAACCAACTCTGGCTAGATTTAAGCAAAAATCTAATCTATCAAAAGAACACTAGATTATCGCATAGAGTCCAAGGAAAAGTCAAGAAGGGGGAAGGACCAAATCAATTTCAGAGACCTTAGCAATGGAACTTCACGGACCTTCTCACCACAGAATTTCCTTTAGTCTGACTTTAGGTCCTGTGACTTCCACCATATATCTCTCTCCCTGCCCTCAAATTTTAATTCCTAGGAAATAACAGCTATTGAACACAACTTGGGCCAAATGTCCTCCTTAGGTACAATCAAGTATGACAAAAAGTGTTAAAAGAGTGATATATTACAAACTTGGCCAGCAGGGACCCTTCTTGTAGAAGAGACCAATTCCCTAGAAGGAGGAAATGTTGGGATCTAGAAAACCACCTCAAGAGATGCCTGCCCATTGTACATGCTTTTGTCAGCTGTGGTTTTTATCTTCTCCTCCACCCCCCTGCCCTCAGTTATCAATATCTATATATCATTGTATAAAATTATACCTTTGATGGGCTCAAAATGCCCTTAGGGGTATATATTATATATATATAAATATTATAAATATTTTATTTATATATTTTTTTTATTTTTATATATTTATATTATATTTTTATTTATTTATATATATTTTTAATTTTATATAAATATATATATTTTTTATATGCCTTTATATAAAATTAAAATAATAAAAGGGGCAGAAAAAAAAATCTCTTATTCCACAAGTTAAAATGTAAACAGTTCAATTCGATTGTAGGCACTGTATAGAGTCATTCAGGAGCTGAACTAAAATATTCCATAAATAGGGATTAGTCATGAGATATGGTCTGTGACAACATAGTAACTCTTACTTTGATCAACCACAGTATATTTTCTTGATTACTAAAGATGTTAAGTTCATTTCTTGAAAATTACATCTAGACATTTATCAATATCAGATATTCTGGAAGATAAAGAAAGCATGTACTATGTATATTTTGTTATGCTCCATTCAATAATCTGTGAAGGATGTTCTTGGAGTATTCCAATGACCTTTTCTAGATTTTTATCCATTTCTTAACTGTGATATCTGTACACCCTTACTTCTTCAAAGCTTGATTTTCCTTGGCTTCCTAGATATTGAACTATCAGGTTTACCTCATCACAGACCTCTTTTGCTATCACCTGCAGCCCTGCTCACAAATAAGGAAAATATTCCAAGGCTCACTTTTCTTTTCTTTTCTCTCTTACCCTTATTCAGTTACAGAACACATGGATATAACTGCCACCTCAAGACCAAGACTGCCAAGTATATCTTGAACACTGCCTATTTTTTAGTCTACTCTTCCTGCAGAGTTCTATTTTTATGGTTCAGTCACACTGACAGGGCAACATCTCTCAAACCAAAATCATCATTATGCCACAAACCGGATTCTCTTCCTGTGTTCATTATGAAATTAACACTATCAATTTTTCCCGTCTTGGGACTGCTCTAAAGTCTCAGAAATTATGTAATGTTCCTTAAATCAAATGCACAATTCTATTGAACAGGCCTATAGACTGGTCTGAATATTGGCATTTGGCTGTCAAAGAACAGCTTTCCTGATAACCTTATAGGTCTACAGATGCGCAAATCTAACAAGCTTAATGTTGCTTTGCCTCCCACAGATTTGTCATCCTTTTTCCCCTGGGTGACAGAGCTGCCAAAGATTACTCAAAGCCCATCTCTTCTGAGCACTGAGAAGCCCTGAAAAGGGGTTAATCTCCTGGAATCCTCATGATAGAGACATTCCTTCCATTTGGGAAATTAACCCCAAATTGGGGTTCTCTTCCCACATTTATTCTCCAGACCAGGAAGTTACAGGAAGAGAACATAGGTGGGGTTTTTTCTAAGTACAGTTTAACAAGTTTAACAATAGAAGCTGGTAACATTAGGTAAGACAAGCAAGGTGACCTTCTATAATGCAATTTTCAACAAAAGCTTGATTTTAGCAAACATTCTCTTCTTACAGCAATTTCCCGGTGTCTTTACACATCAGTCAGTAACCTGTCTGTCTTTGAGTCAGCAACCTTGCTGTGTTAATTCTATATCTTACAACAGAGACTATAGCCTGGGGAAAATTTCCTGTCCTTTGCAAGGTCAATATCTGAAACTGCAAGGCTTTGGAAAACCAGGCCCTGTGAAGTACATTTGCTTTATGCATACTCTACACTTAAGAATCTCATCATTTCAGATAAAATTGCTCCCCAGAGTAAAAAAAAGACACTAAAGAATTCCATGGGTTCTCTGCTGATGTAGACTTCTGAATTATGTAGGTCAGATCCGCTATTCTGTAGTGCTCTATCTTCCCACTTCGAATCGATTGTTATCCCCTAAAGCGCTGCTAATTCTGGAAAACAATCTATAACCTGTTATAACCAGCCCAAGCTAGTGACGACTACAAGTCCCATGAAGCAAAGCAGAAGCCCGCACGTTTGCCGTGGTTTCTCCTGGGAACTGTAGTCTTCTAGTTACCTGTCAGGCAAACTAGCTATCGTAGCCTCCTTTTCTCAAAAGTTCCCTTCGAAAAATAAAATTAGTGCAAAGAATATCGACCCCCGGCCACAGGACTAAATTTAACCCACCTACCAGAGAGCCCAGGCCAGATGATCCCAGTCGGCGCCCCGGGGTGGCCGCCTTCGGCGTGACGTCACTTCCGGCTGAGGCGTGCCAGGCCGGTCCCTCACTCCAGCTCTGCCGGGATCCTGGTCCCGCCGCCGGGCTGAGGCGGGCAGAGGCGAGGAGCAGCTGCTTTCGGGGGCGGAGTGTCACGTGAGGTCTCTCGGTATTGTGGGAGGAGGTGGAAAGCGTTTCGGTGGCTCTCACTTCTTTGGTCGTATTGATATGCACCTACCAGAGAGCCCAGGCCAGATGATCCCAGTCGGCGCCCCGGGGTGGCCGCCTTCGGCGTGACGTCACTTCCGGCTGAGGCGTGCCAGGCCGGTCCCTCACTCCAGCTCTGCCGGGATCCTGGTCCCGCCGCCGGGCTGAGGCGGGCAGAGGCGAGGAGCAGCTGCTTTCGGGGGCGGAGTGTCACGTGAGGTCTCTCGGTATTGTGGGAGGAGGTGGAAAGCTGCAGTGAAAGAGTCCGGTTTAACCGTCGCCCGGAAACGCGTATTAACACGATCGCGGAGTTGGCTGAGGAGTGGGCTGAGGTACGGGCGGGGCGGCGGGCGCTGTCCAGACTCTCGTGTGGGTGACACCTGCACCCTCGGTGGTTCACGAACTTTTTTGAAGTACCCTGTACACATTTTCGGAACAAGGAGTAAACAGAGGTGAAATCTACATCTCAAAGAGATTCATTTCTGGTTTTGAAAGAAATGAAATCACAGTATTTATTCAGGAGAATGAACACTGAGCCCTTTTCCTCTTTGTTAAAATGGACATGGTCGGAATTACATGAAGTAACACACATGAAGTGCCTCGTCCAGCACCTGCCATGTAGGGGATTCCTGCAGAATCATTGCATTAGTTAATGTTACTGTCATTACTATTACTTGAGGTCTAAATTGTGAGGGTATGGAGGACTTGGCAGGGCCAAGGGTGGTTTTGTTCTCTCGTGTGGGTGACTGGGAGTGATGCCATATACAGAAGTGAGGCAGCCAGGAAGAAGTGTTTCTTATCTACTGGTTGGTTCCCATGTGTTCCCAAGTCCAGATCATTCATCTTGTAACCAGATGCCGTTGCCTTCAGCCAGGCTACCCACAAGCACTTATCTATGGCTTACAATTGGGTCTGCGGCAGAGCCGGCAGGGTCTCGGGACCCCAGGAAGCCCCGAGAGCGGCGGGTCTCGACCCCCACAGAGCCGAAGATCCAGGTCACGCTCAGACCTCTAGGTTAGAGCTGCGCCGGGGGTTCTCCATTTTGCTCTCGCCACCAAACATCTTCTCGCCCACCTGGTTGCTCACCTGCCCACCTCACCTGCCAGAAGTGAGCCCGAGATGATCGTTCTCGGAGCACCTCCACTCCAGGGCAAAAGTGGAGACGCTTCTAATGAGCATAATACGTTTTCTTACCGTTTCGGTGGCTCTCACTTCTTTGGTCGTATTGATATGCGACCTCCCCCCGCCAGCCTGCAGCCTCAGGTGGTAGAGTGGCAGAGGGCAGGACGATTCCACAGGCCTTGAGAAGGTTGAGATTACAGATCTTTTATTTACTTCTTTTTTGGGAGGCCATCAGGCGGAACCCAGGAGCGATGAATCAGCAGCTCAAGTTTCTTGAAATTTTCATAATGGGGAAGGTTGCCCAGAGCCACGTGCTGAGTTAAAACTCTTATTTCAGCATCTTTCCAAGTCAAGGCGACTCCTTTCCTACCTTTCTCACCAGTAGAGTTATGCAGATGAAGTTGGGCAGGCAGACCCGTTGTTATGTGCAGCCTGTTATTTCTTTGGTTTGTAGTTAATACAATTTCTTATGAGTTTATTATTTAACAGCTTAATGGTAAACCATTTCTTCTTTATGTTATGAAATTATTCCGATACAAGACGTACTCGTTCTTTTGATAAGAGATTATAGAGTATGAGTTATAAAGATTTATTAAGTACCCTCAGTTTATTGCAAAGCAGAATTAGTGACGAGCTAGAAACTCTAAAGAGCAGTTGGGCTTTTAATTATTTAATTTTGTTGCATATAAGTTTAATATTCGTTGGGTTTTATTTGATTAATTTGATCAGCTGTATTTTTCAAATAAGTCGATCCCTGCTTCTATAAAATGTTACTTTAATAGCAGTTGACGTTTACCCAGGTAGCATTTAAGCTTCTGGTTCACTGTTACTACTCTGTAAGTCCTTAGACTTTCACTAAATAAATCAGAAGGTAATGTGAATAATCACCCCCTTTTTTCCTTCACTTTTCTCCTTACCTCCCTATACTGTCAGGACAATAAGCTAAAATAAATCTTCAGGAGAGTCCTTACCACTCTTCTCCTACCATCTCTTTTTTAATAGATGACATCAGCTTTAAATGAACATGACAGAAATTCATCACAAGAAAATAAAGTCGGGGAAAAAGGTTAACATGTAACATGTGGGTGAAGAGAAAGGATGTGGAATACTTTTGCTCTCTTTGCCTTGCAAATGGGAGTCCTTAAAGATAATTGGGATTAAAGGAAGGGGTTTGAGGCATTTTCATTCCAAATAAAATAAGAGTGTCCCAAAATTGAAAAGAACATTTTGTTTTCTTTTGGATCATGCAGGAGATTAAAGACTAATCTTTCAATATGTCCTTCTCATTTTTAGATAGTGAATTCCTCAGAAGAAGAAAATGGATTGCATATTAGTTGTTCTCTAAGTGTTTGGACTTAACAGTGTGCAGGTTTGTTGCAAAGGCCTAAAGAAGATGGCAACTCCTTATGTCCCAGTTCCTATGCCCATAGGAAACTCTGCTTCCAATTTTTCAACCAACAGAAATCAAAGAAGTTCTTCATTTGGCAGTATCTCAACAAGTTCAAACTCTTCCAAAGGCCAGTTAGAAGACTCAAATATGGGTAATTTTAAACAGACAAGTGCCCCTGATCAAGTGGATAGTACTTCATCTGCCTGTAGCAGTCCCCTCATTAGGACTAAATTTACAGGTGCAGATTCTTCCATTGAGTATTCTGCTAGACTAAGAGAAACTGAAGAACAAAATCCTGAAACAGTAAATTGGGAAGATAGACCTTCTACACCTACTATACTGGGTTATGAGGTGATGGAAGAAAGAGCTAAATTTACTGTAAGTATTGATTTCTGCTGCAAATCAGTAGAATGTGAGAGATTGGCTAACCTGTGTGTTTGAAGCAGTGTTAAAGTTATTAATGTAGGCTTGTACTTAACAATTTCTTGAACAAGAAATTCTAATGGTTTTTACACCACTAAATTTTGTCATGCTGTAGTAAACTTTTGTTTTACCTTAATGAATTTTCACAAACCAGACTCACCTATGTAACTAGTACATAGATCAAGAAAGGTTAGTAGCATCTTAAAAGCCCCCATACTCTCTGCCTGTCAGTACCCACTCACCCAATAACTTTTCTGATAGCCTCTATTATTTTTTCTTATTGTTGTATTTTATATAAATGAAAGTATTGAATGTGTATTCTTTTGGGTCTGGTCTCTTTTCTTCAGGGTTATGTTTGTAAGGTTCATTCTTGATCTTGCATACATTGTAGATAGCTTATTTTTATTACTGATAGTATACCTTTATACAAATATACTACAATTTATTCATTCTGTTGTTGAAGAACATTTGAATAATTTACATTTTGAGGTTCTTACAAATACTACTTCTTTGAACATTTTGGTACTCATCACTTAGTAAACACACGTATACATTTCTGTTTGCTATTTACCTAGGAGTAAAATCGCTGGACCATATCCCCAGCTTTAGAAGGTATTGATGAACAATGTTTCAGAGTTGTACTAATTTATACTCCTTTAAACAGTGTATGAGAGTTCTGGTTGCTCCCCACCTTCCCAGCAGGTGGTATTTTCTCATCTTTTTCATTTTAGATATTTTAGTGAGCATAGGGTGATATCACGTTGTGATTTTAATTTGAATTTTTCTTAATGACTAATTAAATTGATTTTTTTTTTGGCCATTTGGATATTGTGAAATGTCTGTTCAAGATTTTGTTCATTTTTCTTTTAGGAAGTCTTCATTTTGATGTGTGGTTATCTGTGCATTCTGGATATGTGTCTATATGTCCTTTTTCAGATACATATGTATTGTGACTATCCTCTCACGCTATAGTTTGCCTTTTCACTTCCTTAATACATTTGATAAACAAAAGTTCTTAATTTTGATACAGTACAATTTGTTAATTTTTTTCTTTTATGGCTGGTACTTTTTGAAATCTTTGCCTACTCTAATGTTACAAAGGTATTTTCCTATGTTTTCTTCTAAAAGCTTTTATTGTTGGGCCTTTCACATTTAGATTTGTAAACAATCCATAATTGATTTTTGTCCATGGTGTTAGGTAAAGATCAAGCCATTTTTTTCCCATAAGAGTTTCAATTAATTAGGCTTTTATTAAAAAGACTATTCTTTCTCTTCCACATCTGTGTGTTGCCTGTGTCATAAATTATGTGACCATAAATGTGTCTGCTTCTATGTTCCAGTTTTCTGTCTTTTAACAATTCCACAGTCTTAATTAGTAAAGCTTTATAATAGGTCTTGATATCTAGTAGTTTAAATACCTTAGCTTTGTTGTTGTTCTTCAAGATTGCTTTGGCTATCCTTGACCCTTTGCATTGTGATTTTGTTAAACCTATAGATTAATCTGGTGAGAACTAACATCTTTACAATACTGAGTCTCCAAATCTGTGAACCTAATCCATTGACCTAAGTCTTTAATTTCTTCTAAAGTGTTTTGATGTTTTCCGTGCAGAGTTCTACCTCTTTTGTTTAGATTTATTTCCGGATGTGGATGTTGTTTGATGTTCTTTTCAGAGACATCTTTTTTTGTTTTCTATTTGCTCATTACTAATTTATATATTTTGACCTTGTGTGTTTATGTATCCAGAGACCTTGCTAAACTCACTTATTAGTTCAAAGAGTTTGTTCTTTTTGATTTTTTTGCAGTATAATTGTTGTTTACTTCACTACGTCATGCTATAAATTTATGACAGGATTGGAGGACCACCAAGAAAAAATTATCAAGATTATTTATGAAGAGATTGTCTTTAAAATTAATTTATAAGACTGGTGATATGATGTGTAATCTGCATGGAAGTATCTTTTTGGGGGGAAATTTTAGAAATTATAATATAGTGATGGCTCATTTCATTACATTAGTCTACCTTACTTATGAAGGAATGAGCATTTGTTGAGGTAAAGCTATGGTTTGAATGTTTGTGTCCTCCCAGAATTCGTATGTTGAAACTTAACCTCTAAGGTGATGGTATTAAGAGGTGGGGCCTTTACAAGGTGATTTCATCATGGGGCAGAGCCCTCATGAATAGAATTAGTGCCCTTACAAAAGAGGCCCCAGAGAGCTGCCTTATTTCTTCCACTTGAGGACATAGCTATAGAGGCACCATCTATGAACCAGATGCTGAATCTGTTAGCATCTTGATCTTGGATTTCCCAGACTCTAGAACTGTGAGAAATAAATTTCTGTTCTTTCTAAGCTATCGAGTTTATAGTAGTTTGTTATAGCAGCCAGTACAAACTAAGATAGGTGATATGTGTGAAAATGCAAATTTGTAGTCAAATTTAAGGCAGTGGTATATAGAAAGTCTTTCAGGACACTATAAAGGAACAAGTAAATGGCAGATATGAAATTAGTCATATTAATGTATTCATTAACTCAACATGTTTTGATTACCTGTTATGTACCAGGCACCGTTCCAGGTAATAGTGGTATAGTTACAAGAGTGAATGAATAATAGATAAGTAAATAAGAAAGACTGCTGGTATGTCACATGGTGACAAGTGCTATAGAGAGAAATAAAAAAGAGAAGGGAGACAGGGAGTTTCCTTGAAACTGGGGTTGGGATTTAAATAGTGTTATCAATCATGGTCTCACAGAAAAGGTGTTAGTACTAATAGAGAGTGAACCATGAGAATATCTGGGGATTTCCACACAGGTGAGACATCTTTTACAGATCCTTGTGTCTGACAGCAGAGTAAGCAATGCGGAGAGGTGTCAGAAATGAGATAACAGGTAAGGGAGGGGGTGTGGCACACAAAGTACGTGGGGCATGTAGGCCATTGTAAGGACTTCGGGTTTTACTCTGCATGAGATGGGAATCTTGGAAAAAGCTTTTAAAGGAAAGGTCATGTGATCTCACTTAATGTTTTAAAAGGATCATTCTGGTTGGCAAATGGAGACTAGATTGTCTGGGGAAAATGTGGAAGCAAGAAGCAGTTAGTAGGTTCTTGCACAAATTCAAGGGAGAAACAATGGTCACATGGACTTTGGTGGTGGAGGAGGTCCTGAGAAGTGATCAGATTCCAAATCTATTTTGAAGGTAGACCCAACAGTATTTTCTAATGATCTGTAAGTGGGGTGTGAGAGAAAGAGAAGTCAAAGATGACCTCAAAGATTTTGCTCTAAACACTGAGAAGAATAAGGTTGCCATTTAATTAGGTGGCAGGTTTTGAGGGGAAGATCAGGATTTTTTTTTTTTGGACATGCTAGATTTGTGATACCTATTAGACGTTGAAATGGAGATGTCAAGTGTGCGTGCGTGAATGTGTACACATATATATGTATTGTGTGTGTGTGTGTGTGTGTGTGTGTATATATAAATTGAGTTCAGGAGAGAGGTCTGAACTGGAAATAATAAGCTTGGAAGTCTTAGGTTTGTAAAATAATTTCTCCTAGATAATTTTCTTTGACTTGATCCCTTAACTGAAGAAAGTTATTAGGACTGAATGTTGAGATTTCATAAGAATGTCAAGTCTTTGGAAAGGTGTTTAAAAGCAAGAAGTGACTAGGATGGGTGGTGAGTAGGACTGAGAAGGAGGCATGAACTAGGATGGGTGGTGAACAGGACTGAGGAGGCATGAGATGGACTTCTTCTATTGATAGTATTTTGGTTCTTGTTCTTGGTACTAGTTACATGGCTGTGTTCACTTTGTAAAAATTCATCAAGTTGTATATTTATGATTTGTGCACTTTTCTATATATATTTTATAATTCAATATATGCCTCTGCATATGTTGTAATTCACTTAAAAATCCCCAATGACTACATAAAAGATAGATAGTACAAAGTAATATATACTAAATTTCAAGTAAAAAGTATGAACAATAACTACTGTTACAGTTATAGAGAGGAGAATGATCAGTACTGTTATAAAGTTTCCATTGAAAGCACTACTTAAACAAGTGGAAAGATAGAGAACTTTCTAGAAAAGAGAAAATACAAAGATCTGTATATCTTTTTTAGAGAAATAGGAGTGTTCCGGGGCTGCACTAGAAAGTAGCTTAGTCGGAAGGAAGGTTTTATTTTGTAAAACAGGAAAATAAAGTTAATATGGATTATCTGTATAAAAACTGAATTATTATATGAGGTTGATTTTTATCATGCAACAGCCATTCATACTCAAAAGTTTTGAAGTCAGTTTGTTTTGTTTTAATGAGAGACTCCTAAAAAGAATGTTTCTTTCATATCCCCATTGTGACTTTCTACAGACTTTTAAAGGGTATCCAAATTATCTTGTTCCCCATCCTTCTGTTACAAACATAAACTATTTGATTTGTTTTTTTACTCCCTCTTAAAAGCTGAAAGAAAAGTCTATATGAGAAAAAATAAGATGGTAAGGATAATCTACACATCCCTAAATAATGAGTTGTCTTTCTGTTCAATAGAAGTATGAGAATACTTCAAAAAGTTCATGGACGTATTTGTAGTCTTTTTTTTTTTTTTTTTTTTGGTGGTGGCTGGCTGGTAAGGGGATCTTGGTCTTATCCTCTAACCAGCTGAGCTAACCGGCCATCTGCCATATTGTCTTTTATTTCTGTTTTCCATGAACTTTTTGAAGTACACTCATATAATGTGAGCCACAAATGTGAATCACATTTGTAATTTTAAATTTTTAGTAGCCACATTAAAAAAACTAGAAAGAAACAGTTGAAATTATTTTTAATAGTATATTTTATTCAACCTTATATGTCCAAAATATTATCATTTCAACATATAGTCAATATAAAATAATTTTAATAAAAACCATTTACATTTTTTTTCACACTTAGTCTTTGAAATCCAGTGTGTATTTTGTGCTCAGCACATTTGGGCAAGTTGCATTTTGAGTGCACAGTAGCCACACGTGGCTAAAGTGCAATTCTGCAGCCGCATTTGAAAATTATTGCACAACAGACTTCAAGAAAAGAAATTACTCTTTTTAGGAGAGTTTCACTCATTCAACAGATATTTATTGAGTACCTCATATGTGCTATGTGTTTTGCTTAGCCCAAAATACTGTGCCGAAAACAACTAGGAGATGTTTCTCTGAGATTCTGTCATAAATAACACATTCTCATAATAAATTCTAACAGTAGAATCTACTTTTTTCTTATTGTGTGCTTCAAACAAGTTTTTCTTTTCAGTAGCCTACATAATTATACATAATTACAGAAATGTAAACTTTTATGTAATACAGGTTTTTTTTTTTTTTTTTGTATTTCAGGCTTATATTTCAGCCTTGGAGATTAGAACAACATTGAACTTATTTGAAAACTTTGCTTGATAGTTGAGTTTAAAAATTAAATTATAGGGCCGGCCCATGGCTTACTTGGGAGAGCATGGTGCTGACAACACCAAGTCAAGGGTTAATATCCCCTTACCAGTCATCTTATATTTAGAAATAAATGTATAAATAAATAAATTTTATAGGACAAAAGTGTCAATTTTTCACAGCTTCTTCAAGCATGATTGATTCTTTTATCAATTTTATTTTTATCAATTAGAATATGTTGGCATAAAACATATCTTGGAAAGCTGATGAGTTCATTATTATTAGTGTGCACAGAAAGAAGCATTTTGTCTCAAATTTGTCATATTCATATTTCTTAAGGAAAAAAATTTTTTGGTGCCTGCATTGATTATTTGTGCATTTGATGATCTAAATGATTTCTGATACAGATATTTTTTACATAATAATTGTTATAATCTGGATTATCAAGTAAAAGTTTTGAAATATTTATTTAAATTTTTAATTATTTTTAATTTTATATATATATATTTCTCTCTCTCTCTCTCTCTCTGAAAAGGTGTATAAAATACTAGTAAAGAAAACCCCAGAAGAAAGCTGGGTAGTTTTCAGAAGATACACTGACTTCTCTAGGCTTAATGACAAAGTAAGTACTTTAATAAATTCAAAACTAACTTTTCAATTTTGAGTTATGTAATTTCTGCTCTTCTGTTATTTGTGTTTTTCTTCATTTTTAATTATTGGAATCGATTCAAATCTTTGCTAATTCATAAGAAAGTTAAATGTTTGATTTCACTTTAATAGCCTATCTTTACACAAAACTTTATCTTTATGAAAAAAATTTTTAGTGTAAAAACGTGAATTTAAAATTGCTGACAGAAAAATGATTGTTTATATAATCTTGTGAGTTTGAAAAACGTGTATATAAGATCCTCGACCTATTAGAAAATTGTATATGACTGCAAGAGAATGAACAGAAAAATCTTTTTAACATATTAGTTTTCTATTGCTGCATAACAAATTACCACAAACTCTGTTGCTTAAAATAGCACCTGTTTATTTAGTGGTTTGGGTGGTTGCAGCTGGGTTTGCTGCTTAGGATCGAGCAAGGTCAAAATCAAGCTGTTGGTTGGTCTCTTAATGCTCTGTGGAGGAATCAACCTCCAAGCTCATTCAGGTTATTGGCAGAACTTAGTTTCTTGAAGTTGTAGGACCAAGGTCCCGGTTCCCTTGCTGGCTGTCAGCCAGAGATCATTCATACCTCACAGAGACTGTTCTCTGGTCCTTGCACATGGCCCCTCCATCTTTAAGGCCAGCAGCAGTGGGCCAAGACCTTTCTCTGCCTTGAATCTCTCCAACTTTCTTTTCTGCCACTAGCCAGAGAAAAGACTCTAAAGTGCTCATGCGATAAGATTAGGCTCACGCAGATAATCTCCCTATCTTAAGGTCAATTGATTAGTAACCTTAATTATAGCTGTAAAATCCCTTTTGCTACGTAACATAACAGAAGAACAGAAGCAACACCAGAGACAAAGGTCATGGAACCATCTAGAATTCTGTGCTGCACATGAGAAACAGAGAGGATAATAATAAACTTCAATATATTAAAAATCCTTAACAGCAAATTTTAAAAGTGAACCCAAAAGTAAAAAGTATAACAAATAATATGAACAGTGTAATTCACAGAAGAAATATATGTGACCAATAAATCTGAAAAGCATTTAATATCATGAGTATTCCAAGAAAAGAAAAATAAACTAATTTTCACCTGTCAAGTTGACAGACATTTAAATGGTATTATCCAGTGTTGGAAGTATGCATCTTCCTAGGGGACACCATAATGTTTTGCATGATTTTAACACAGTAATAGCATTTCTGGGATTTAACCTACATACACAATCATGACTATTACAGTTGACCAAAGCTGAAACATTTCTGTGTGGTAAAATGATTGTTCTCAGTTGGTCCCAGGCACAACAGCATAGGGAGGGAAGGAGCAGCACCGTTACCAATGCAACTCATTGTCAAGAAAAACCAAGTTCATATGAAAACTTGGGCAGGGCTCAATCAAGCATTCATCCCTCACATTAAAAAGAAATTTAGTGGTAGTCCTTGATATGTCTGGCTTTTCAGTCACACTGCTCTGTCCTGAACTGATTTGCCCTTCACATGTGGTTCATAAGTGGCATTCTGAAATTGCCTTTCTCTGTCTTTCTGGGGATTTTTTAATATTTCTCTTTTGTTGGATGTTGTTTTCCTCTATTCCATGTCTTCCTCTTTCTTGAATTACTTAATTGTGGGACAGCTCCGTCTTTTCTGTGGATAATTTTTTAAAGGAAAGTCATATATTTAGACATATATGATATTTAAATTATAAAGCTTAAAATTAATAAAAAGATGATATATTTCTTCCTCGTGACTTTTATTTCCATTGCAGACACATTAGATTAAGAAATCTCAAGGCCACAAATATCAAATATCAGTTATATCTTAAAGCAAGTCAGGGTTTTCACTTAATGAGTTACTTTCTAGTTTTTGTCTTGTTTATTTTCTGTTCACTTACTTACAGAAGTATAGACAAAATGTTATATTTTACATTTTTATTTAACATTTTAATTTTACCCTGTCCATTTTTGTCTTTTGCTAGTCTTTTTTCATACCTGTGATACTTAGTTTTATTTTTAAGTATAGAAATGTGAATGTACATGAATTCATTCTGTTCATCCATTATTTAACATATTGTTGACTGCTTGTTATGTAGCAGGCACTATGCTAGACACTGAGGATGCAACTATGAATAAAGCATAATAATTGCAGTATAGTAAAATGGTTCTCAATCATAACTGCATTTTGGACTCCCCTGGAAAGCTTTTGCAAATTACAATACCTAGGCCATACTACAAATTGTTAAATCTTAATCTGTCAGGGGTAGAACACAGTCATAAATACCTTTTAAAACTCCTCAGGTGATTCCAGTGTGCAGCCAGGGTTTAAAATCACTGGTCTAGTAGGAGAGTCAAAAATTTGTGTGTGTGTGTTCATTCTCGAGGAGTTTATTTGGTCAGACCTGGTGTGAGAGGGCCCTGCACCTAGAAAGTATTGGTCATCTTGGTGGTGAAGCATGATTTATTATGCTGGCGACACGGGACTGGGTAGGGCAGCAGGAACTTCATCTTGGAGTTGTGCAACTGCTTGGCTGTCGGCCGGCGGCACTTGCTGGCTGCCATCTCCTCCACTTTCACGATCTGGATGGAGTCAGCACGGACGCAGTGCCAGCCCCTATGGTGGTCAGGTCCCGGTATTCCCTGTACACGTTGTGGGAGCCTCTGCGGGAGTCAGTAGCGCAGCCAGATGTCGAAGTTCTTGACCTGCAGGGGAGACTTTTTGAACATCTGTCCACAGTAGACAATTTCCCCTGAAGACTTCATCATCTTTGGCAGAGATGCAAAGTATCAGAAGTGAAATTTGGCGAAGGCGTGATTAAGGCAGAAAGATTTATATGCGGTAGAGGGGCAGCATGCAGCACTTGGGGGTGGGTAAGCAGCGCCACCTTGAATTCGTGCTGTGAGCCTGAGGCCTTCATTGGCATTTCTCTGTGCTGGCCACCACTCACCAAAAGGCAAAATTTAATTAGCATTATTTACATTGTGATAAATGTTACTAAAAAAAAAAACTAATGATTTGACAATGTGTGGCAGGTTATCTTTTCTAAAAGTGGTCACAGCAATATCTTCAGTCTCATATGCTCTTCCAGAATCTTACCACCACCTATCAAAAGGTAAAATCATTTTCCCCTCCCCTTGAACCTGGATGAGCTTGTGACTGCTTGAACCAATGGAGAATAGTGGAAATAATGCTATGTGAGTTTCAAGGCTAGATCATAAGAAGTATACAGTTACATCCTGGCTTTCTCTCTTGGGATGCTCCCTTTTGAAACCCAGCCTCTGTACTATGAGAAAGTCTAGGACACATGGAGAGGCCAGTGTCAGGGTTGTGGTGGACAGCTCCAGCTAAGGTCTCAGCCCAAAACCAGCATCATCCACTATGCATGTGAGTGAGTAAACTTCAGACAGTTCCAGCTCCCAGCCTTCAAGTCTTCCAGCTGAGGCCCCCATTCACTGTAAAAAAATGATAAGCTATCCTCTCTCTACATGGTATGAATTACTGGCCCAAAGAATCCATGAGCCTAATGAATGGTTGTTTTATACCACGAAGTTTTGAGGTAATTTTTTACACAGTAATAGTAACTTGAACAGCCTTAACCTAGTTGAGAAGGTTGGGAAATTCTTCCCTAAAAAAATGAATTTTAGGCCAAATGTGCAAAGTAGATTATAAACCAAAATATAAAAGTTAAAACGGTAAACTTCTGGGAAAAACACAGAAGAAAATCTTTGTAGCCTTGGAGTGAGTAAAAATTTCTTTCAATCTAAAAAAGCCTAAACCATTAAAGACAAAAATGGATGAATTAGATAACATTAAAATTAAAAGCAACTGCTTTGCTAAGATTGTTAAAGAGTCAGGCCACTGTTAGGAGAAAATATTTGTAATGCATATATCTGAAAAAATCTTGTATCTGGAATATATAATGTACTCTTACAACTTAATAAAAACACAACCCAATTTAAAAAAAAAAAAACATTGGGGGACTCAAAAGATTTGAATAGATAATTTACTAAAGAAGATATGAATGTGCAAATAAGCAAGTGAGAAGATATTCAACATCATTTATCAAAAGAGGAATATGGGGCCGGCCCGGTGGCGCACTCGGTAGAGTGCGGCGCTTGGGAGCATGGCGGCGCTCCCGCTGAGGGTTCGGATCCCATATAGAGACCGGTCCACTCACTGGTTGAGCGCGGTGTGGGCGCGACACTGAGGGTTGTGATCCCGTTGCCGGTTGCGGTACGGGCGTGACACTGAGGGTTGCGATCCTGTTACCAATCACAGAAAAAGACAAAAAGGAAAAAAAAAAAAAGAGGAATATGAATTACAACCACAATGACATGGTACTACATACCCACTGGAATACCTAACATTCAAAAGATGAATAATGCCAAGTTTTGGCAAGGACATGGAATGAGTAGAACATCTATGTATACATTACTGGTAGAAATTAAGAAAATAATGAAGGCATAAAAAGCTTAGCTGAATTTTATTCTATTATTTTAAGCTTATTTTATGAATAATCGCACATAGTCAACAGGATTGATTTTGTAGAACTGATATAATTGAATTAAACATTGTGTTTTTTCTTTTTTTTCAGTTGAAAGAGATGTTTTCAGGCTTTCGATTAGCACTTCCACCAAAACGCTGGTTTAAAGATAATTACGATGCTGACTTTTTAGAAGATAGACAATTAGGATTACAAGCATTTCTTCAAAATTTAATAGCTCACAAGGACATTGCTAACTGGTATGTAACAAACTGAAATAAAAGATTATAAGAGCATTCTAACAAGTGGCTTAAATGAAAGAATAAACCTAGGACCATAATTATTTAAGCACAGAAGTATGGAGTGGGAGTATAATTACTTGTCCTCTAATTTACTACATGGGATTTTCTTGCTTTCAGTAAGGACTTTGATATTTCATTTTTATCAAAGTTTTAAAAAGTGAGTAAAGTGAAAAATTTAGCATATCACTTACTCAAATCACTCAGCAGTAAACTTGATTTTAGTGTTTAGCAATCGATTTTAGTCTTACCAATCATTTAAACAAAATGGCTTACATATTGGTAAATTTTTGGTTAACACGATACTATATGATTTTAAGGATAATATTTTTTATATTTCTCCAAAGTAGTGCAAAAATATGAACATTGTGAAGTTGGGTTAATTTACATAGGAGGTGAAATGAAAATACTAGAAACCATTAAATAAAAGGCAGAGAAAGGATCTACGTGGGATTTTTGCTAATGAACAGATAAGAAAATTGTTGAATGATGTAGTATAAGCTGGGTATCTAATTTTGGAACCTACATTATCAGATAGATTAGAATTATTTTGAAAAAAGTAGAGAGCATTTATAATGCAGCAATAGCATATTGTATAGATGTCTGTATCCAGAACTGTCCAGTAGTTTTTCACATAAGAATGGAAAACAATTAATAAAACCATCCTATCTAACTTTTCCTACCCCTTTTTCTTGGTCTTTATGTATATTACCTTCTTGTGTTATAACATGCATACACACTGTACTCATACATCTTGCTTTCCAATGTGTGCTGCCTAAGCTTGATGGCTTCACAAGATCCCTGCTCATCCTCCCTCATTTTCCTCTTAATAAAAAAACTACAAGTCAGATCTTTTCTCTGTTCTCCAGATTGATGTATGCAGTTGCCTTCTTGACATCTCCTGCAGATTTCTCAAAGTTACCTCAAACCTAAAACAGACTTAAACTTGATCTCAATCTTTTTTCCCCAAGTTTTCAGCAGCATCATCTACCCAAAACCTGTGAGTCATCCTTGACACATCCTCACTACCTTTATTCCTTCCTTTACATTTTAAGTATCACTCAAATATGTCTACTTTCCTCCATCCTTGTCATTACCACCCTAGTCCAAGCAATTATCTCTTGCCTTAATTGCTGTAGAAACTTTTCTGCTGTTCTTCCTTATCTACTCTTCTTTCTGTAATCCATTAGAGCCACACTGATCTTTTGTGATGTAGCTTAAGTCATTCTTTCTGCTCCCTGCATACCTGCTTGTCTTTCCAACCTTAGGTTTTATTGTTCCTCCCCAACCTCCATTCTCCGTTCATCGGCCATATTGGTCTTCTTTCAGTTTTCCAAAATCACCTTGCTCCTTTATCCCTTAGGGCTTTCGTATATGCTGTTCCATTGAAGGGCAACATTTCACATTACTGCCCCACCCAGCTCTGGCCTAGATAACTCCTATGTATCCTTCAGATTTCAATACAAAGTTCCTTAAGTAACTGGCCTTCCTAACTGAGCCCTCATCCTCCACCACCACCACCACCACCACCACCACCACAGCCTAGGTCAGTTCTTTCTCACAATGTCTGTACCAGCCCTTTTTAACTGGGTCTGAGAGTCAACTTTGAATGCTTTAGGACACCAATTGTATGTAGTGAATTAACTTCCCTCCTCTGCTTCTAGTGATACTAGGTGTGTACTGGTCTTAAGAAGATTGAGAAAATAATCACTTAAATCATTATTATGAGGTGTCTTAGTTTGTTTTCTATTGCTTATAACAGAACACCTGAAATTGGGTAATTTATAAAGAAAGGAAATGTATTTCTTACAATTCTGGAGGCTGGGAAGTCCAAGGTCAAAGGGGCACATCTGGTGAGGACCTTCTTGCTGACTGGGACTCTCTAGAGTCCTGAGGCAGTACAGAGCATCACATGGAGAGGGAGCTGAGCATGCTGACATGCTAACATGCTAGCTCAGGTCTTTCTCATAAAGCTACCAGTACACTCCCATGGTAAGCCATTAATCCACTAGTAGATTAATCCATTCATGAGGGCAGAGACCTTATGATCTAATCATCTCCTAAAGGCCCAACCTCAATACTGCCTCATTGGGGATTAAGTTTCAGCATGAGTTTTGAAGGGGACATTCAAACCATAGCAGTAGGGTTTAATTCTGTCATGGATCCCAGTTGATAAAGGCTGGTTGGTACCTTATTTTTATAGCATTTGAGCTTATTATTATTTCTGTGATTTGACTGTGTTTCTCCCACTAGATGGTAAGATACATAACAGGTCATGTGGCTATTTTATTCACCGTTCAATGTCCAGTGCTTAGCACAGTGCTGACATGGTTGGCTCTCAATAAGTACTTCTTGAATGAATGACAGAACTGTTGAAATTCACTTCTGTACCATTTGTATGAAAAAAAGGTTGAAGCACATATGACAAAGTTAGCAATTATGTGCTCTAGGTGGTGAGAATATGGGTGCTTCCTACTTTTCTATATATTTTACATCTCTCAAAAGAAAAAAGAAAAGTATTGGTTTTAATTCAGACAAACCAAGCAGGAATAAAAACGAACACACACTAAAATCATAAAGACTTTGAAGAAAATATATTTTGTACTATACCATAAAAGACTCTTAACAGCTAAGAAGTCAACACATCCTATCCCCTTTCTCTTGTCCCTTCTTCAGTAAACCTTTATGTATTGAAAATGTGGTGAACTAAAACCAAATTTATTCTGTAAATGACTATTTTATCTAATGAAGTATTAAATAATTTGAACCACATTAATTATATCATTTGTGATTTCTTGATTTTTTTAAATAGCAAAATTGTGCCTTGGTTGAAATATTCAGATACATTTTTTTAAATTACTAATATAGATCTCAGTCTCTGAGGTAAACATTACTGGGGACATTCGAGATCATGTCATTTCTAAAACTGCATACCTCAGAACAGTGGTTGTGATCTTGCTCAATTCATAAATAGGCATTTCAAAGAAAGAGGTTTCTTAGCCAAATAAGTTGGGGAGAGGTTTCATCTGATATTTCTAGAGTATTAAAGGTTTTAAGAAATTTTGCATGAAAGAATCTAGTGTGCCTTGCACTTATTTGCCTACATACTTTTGTCATATCATCAGACGTTTAGGAAATACAGTGAGATAACTTAAATTGAATTCACAATAGGGTATTTATGCCTTGTTTACTGTTGGGTACCCACTATCTTTCTTATGGGTGATGGGTAGCATTTTTTATTTCACAATGTAAAAGGTTTCTTAATAACTTACTGTTTAAAACATGATTGGGGGAAGGGTTATTCATCTGTATCTTAAGCATTTGTCCTGTATCATGGTAAGAAGGGTATAAAAGAAGGGAAGATATACTCACTGGTCTTAAAATTCTTTTAGAAAAATTAGGCTTCTGTTTGAACAAAATAAGGGAGTTTATGAATTGCCACTTGCTATGATACAGATTTTAAAAGTAACAGGAACTCAGAGAAAGGGAAGATCAGTGTTTTTCTCAATGATCAAGCAATACTGGAAGTAGGATCTGAGAGCCTGAAAGGCTAGATTAAGAGTAGGAAGATGGATATGAGTTAGACACAAATAATTAGAAGATATGTAGAAAGTCTGAAGTTGTCACATAGCTGTTCATGAATTGAAGGTTGGTCCATTATAACCAACATAGTACTTTACTACATTTTTTTGAGATTGTATCTTCTCTCCCTTCAATACTGTTCCTTATGTGAAATAAATACCCAATTCTTGCTGTGTCAAGGACTGAATTACTACAGTGATTTTGCCATAGTACAACTGTTACCGTTGTACACAGGATTTGAACTCTGTCTATAATCTGAACTCAAATAGTAGTTGGGTTGTTAGATAGTTCACCAATCAAAAGCCTGATTGTACAGGAGAAAAGTGAAAGAAGATTCTTTCATTTTTTACAATTAAAAAGGAAGATGGAAAATTCTTCTATGAGAGAAAAGGAGAAAAGTCAAAATTCCAACATTTCTTTATGAAAATATGAAACTGCATTTAAGAGACACTGTGTAAAACATCAATTAGTTGTACATTACTTCTTGGGATGCCTTTTACAGTCGGAATGGCTGTAGAAAAAATTAGTCTTTAGATGTCCAAAGAAGCATTTGATATTAACTGTTTATGTATCAATAGTGTTCTTTCACTTTCCTTTGTTATATCCTCAGCACCTTACAACACAGTTATTTCTTAACCTTTATGTTGGCTAAGAGCTTGCAGCTCTTAATGTTACAACTTCTTCAGCTGAGCAAAGCAAAATAGAAGAAAATAACTGAAAGGATATTAAGGACTGTTGATTTGAATGGTTCAAGAGAATATTGTTTTCAGATGCATGTAGAAAATACAAAATAAGGAAATGGATAAAAACATTAGTGTTTTCACAATAAAAAGATTTATTAGAGGTTTCATCTGCTCAATTAATAATTATTTAGAGCTTACAATATAAAAGGTGTTGTGACTACACAAAGGTGAATTAGATGCTGATTCTATTTTCAAAGAAACTGAAAGAAAGAAGACTTGCCCCCCAAAACCATGATGAATAGAGTTATATCTCCTTTAGAGGAGGAAGAGAGAACTTTTGGCTGGGAGAAATAAAGAAAGCTCTCCAAAGAGTGACATTTGAGCTGGACTTTAAAGAATTAGTGATATTTGTTTTTTGTTTGTTTGTTTGTTTTTCTTTTTGTCTTTTTCGTGACCGGTAAGGGGATCACAACCCTTGGCTTGGTGTCGCCCGCACCACGCTCAGCCAGTGAGCCATCCCTATATAGGATCCAAACCCGTGGCGGGAGCGCCGCTGCGCTCCCAAGTGCTGCACTCTCCCGAGTGCACCACAGGGCCAGCCCAAGAATTAGTGATATTTGGACCAGCGAAGAGAAGGTGAAGGACTTTACAGATGAGAGGGAATATTATAATCAAAATGCAAAACCAAGAAAGTAC